GCTCGCACCCGCCGCGGTACCGGGGCATAGGTGAGGAGGGGCGGCCACGGGCACGGGCAGCCGCGGGGCGCCGAGGGCGGGGGTCCTGACCGCCCCATCTCCCAGGGGACTGCGTGCAGCAGACCGTGCGAAGCCATGGCGTCCTGGGCCTTTACCGCGGCCTCAGCTCCCTGCTCTATGGATCCATCCCCAAGGCGGCGGTCAGGTGAGGCCCGGCAGGGGGCAGCGGGAGGGGTGTCCATGAGGGCCGCGGCACCCAGCCGCGGGGCGCCGAGGGCGGGGGTCCTGACCGCCCCATCTCCCAGGGGACTGCGTGCAGCAGACCGTGCGAAGCCATGGCGTCCTGGGCCTTTACCGCGGCCTCAGCTCCCTGCTCTATGGATCCATCCCCAAGGCGGCGGTCAGGTGAGGCCCGGCAGGGGGCAGCGGGAGGGGTGTCCATGAGGGCCGCGGCACCTCTTATCACCTCTGGCCCCCAGGTTCGGAATGTTCGAGTTCCTCAGCAACCACATGCGGGATGCCCAGGGACGGCTGGACAGCACGCGCGGGCTGCTGTGTGGCCTGGGCGCCGGCGTGGCAGAGGCGGTGGTGGTCGTGTGCCCCATGGAGACCATCAAGGTGGGCTGAGCCCCCGCAGGGGATGGGATGTGCAGGGGTGAAGGCGTGCGGGGCCAGGGTGACCCTGTGCATCACAGGAAACCTTCAAGCCGGGGAGCATGTGGGATTCGAACCGTGCATGTGGACGGGGGCGGCTGGTGCAGGCCGCCTGGCAGCCAGAGCCTGGCAAGGCTGGACTTTATCCTGCAGCAATGGGAAGACTGCTCATGGCCTTTAAAAGTACTTTTGTAAGCAGGAAGCGGACAATAACATGCTGGCCGCCCAGACTGTGGAGACAGCAGCAGACCGCAGACGCCCTCAAGTGGGCGTGCTTGCACCCTCTGGTCTGTGGTGGTGTCCCAGGCCAGCCGTGGTGGCATCGCAGCTGCATCCCAGCCCCGTCCTGACCTGGGTGGGCTCTGGGCCTGCTGGGGGTTGGGGAGCCATGCTCTTCAGGTGATGGCCCTGGAGACAGCGCCTGCCCTCCCCTCCCTCAGGTGAAGTTCATCCATGACCAGACGTCCCCCAACCCCAAGTACAGAGGCTTCTTCCACGGGGTCCGGGAGATCGTGCGGGAACAAGGTGAGCGTCTCCTCCTTCCTGTTCAGGGGCAGGGGTCTCGGCCAGACTGGAACAGGGCCTGCGCTTCCCCTTCCCGCCTCAATGCTGCACGTGGCACCGCCACCCCCTTCCCCAGTGTCACCCACGTCTGCCTGCCCCCAGGACTGAAGGGCACGTACCAGGGGCTCACGGCCACTGTGCTGAAGCAGGGCTCCAACCAAGCCATCCGCTTCTTCGTCATGACCTCCCTGCGCAACTGGTACAGAGGTGAGTCTGCCCCGGACCCCCCTCCCAGTGAGAGGCAGCGGTGGGGGGGGGGCCTCCTAGGCCCTGGGCCAGGCTCCTCCCTGACCACAACCCCACCAACATCCAGGGGACAACCCCAACAAGCCCATGAACCCGCTGATCACGGGGGTCTTCGGAGCCATCGCGGGTGCAGCCAGCGTCTTCGGGAACACTCCTCTAGACGTGATCAAGACCCGGATGCAGGTGGGAAGGGGCTGGGGTGGAGGGGAAGAGGAGGGGAGCCGGGCCAGGGGCTGGCTGCTGAGGCTCTGGCCTGCTGGTGTCCTGCAGGGCCTGGAGGCACACAAGTACCGGAACACGTGGGACTGCGGCCTGCAGATCCTGAGAAATGAAGGACTCAAGGCGTGAGTGGGGCGGGGAGGGATACTGGGCCCACTCCCGGCCCTTCCTGTCCGCAGACACTGCCCTCTGCCTGCACCCCTTCTCTTCCCCTCCTCTCCCATGGCCTCCTCCCTCACCGCAAGCCCCTCCCCACTCAGATTCTACAAGGGCACAGTCCCCCGCCTGGGTCGGGTCTGCCTGGACGTGGCCATTGTGTTTGTCATCTACGACGAGGTCGTGAAGCTACTCAACAAAGTGTGGAAGACGGACTGAGCCCGGGGCCCGGCGGGGCTGCCCACGCCAGGCCGGCTCCCGCCACCCTCCTCCCACGTGATCCCAGTGCAGTCGTGCCAAAAGGCCCCCTCCCCCACGCCCCCCGAGCTCCGTGACCTGGTCTGTCTGTTGTGGCCAGCAAGTCCCCACGTTCCGTAGTGCCGTGTTCCCCTGTGGTCTGTGCGTGACATCACTGTTGTGTCCGTGTGTCCGGCCCAGCCACTGGGTGGCTGGGGGGGTCCCTCTGGCCCATGACTCCGTGCCCGTCTGTCCGTGTACTTACCTGGAGGTGTCTGCCTGTGTTTTGTGTTCTGTGTCACGTGACCCCATGCCCCGCTTCCCGGGGTGCCTGTGTGGCCTGGGTCCACGGCCCCATAGCCATGGCCCGGTCCCAGTCCGGTGCCTTCCACCCTGGGCGGCAGGGGCACCTTGCCCTGGCCTACCACAGCTGCCTCCGGGCCTCGGCCTGGCCTCATCGCATTCCAGGGGCTCCGTGCCCCCTGCTTCTCCCGCCATTGGCCTTAACTGGCCCTCGGGCCCTCCCTCCGCCCGGGACAGGGTGGCAGCCGCCACTCTCAGGACCACCCTGCCAAGGCAGAATAAACCGGATCCTGTCACAGCCTCGTGCCCTGGCATCTGTCCCTGTGCGGGCCCATCTGCGGGTGGGCAGTGATGCCGTGCCTCTGCACGGAGCCTGCCCGCTCACCTGGGCACATTGCAGCAGAGGGACGGGGAGGGCAGGCAGCAGATGGGGATGGACAGGCACGCCGTCCACCTGGGACAGGCCAGCCGCAGCCATGCTGTTGGCTCCTGAGGCCCGACACCACGCCAAGAAGGAGCTGACCTCTGTCCAGGCTTTCCATGTGGCCTGTGGACAAGATCCTGCAGGGTCGGCTGTGTCCATGAAGCCTCAGCGTGGCCTAGCAGGCAGCACTGAGTGGGCAGCGTGGAGGGCCAGGCCTGGGCACAGTGCTCCCAGGATGCCCAACTGCCTCCTTCCCTGAGGACAAGGCTGGGGAAGGCCCAGCAGCAGAGAGGCTCGCTGGCTGTGGCTCAGTCCACCTCCCTCACTGGGTCTGAACCAGTCCTGCAGGGAGGAGGGCACGGGAAGGGCTTGGGGCTCTGAACCTCTAGCCAGGGGCCATCCAGCCTCTGGTTCCCCGAGACTGAACCAGGGGACCCTTCCTCCTTCCCCTAGACTGGGAGACAGCCGCCCTGGGGCAGGAGGAAGGAGGGACCTCTGGATGCCTTGCGTCACTGCCCTGAAGTGCAGGGGAGGGTGTTTGGCTGAAGGCCCTATGAGCACAGGTAGAGGCCAGGCCGGAGCTAGAGGCCACAGCTCTGAGTCCTCGGTTCTGAGTAGCCCAGGCCCCTCCTTCACAGCCATGAGCCAAGTGGAGGATGCCATGGGTAGGAGACAACCGAGCCGTTCCAGCTGTGTGGGGCATGGGGCACATGCCTGCAAGGGTTTGGCTCCCCTGGGGACAGCTCTTGCCAGCAGGAAACCTCCGGGCAGGTCTCATCCCTGGAACTGCTCATCTCGGGTAGGACACCCTGTCCCTGCTACCTCACGCCCTGCAGTCCACACCACACGTAAGCAGTGGAAGACCGCGTGCGAGGGGCCTAAGGCAGGTCTGAGCCAAGTGCGGGCCTGGGGGTGTGATGGAAGCATGGGGTTTCAAGGGCTCTTCATGGCGCCACTCAGCCTGCACCGACTTCCCCATTGCTGGGAGGAGACAGCCCAGGCAAGGCCTGGCCGCGGCCTGCAGGGACCTGGGAGCTGTGCCGGCATCCCTTCACACCAGGACCGAGCCCCACACAAAGAGGTGCCCTGTGACTGGCTCTGGGCCTCGGATGCTTTGCTGTGGGGGTGGAGGCAGCACAGTGCAGGCCACTGACTGCGGGGACACCGGGCTCCTCTGAGGCCTTGCCTCCAGGCTGTGACATCTGTGGGCAGTAGGGGCGAGGGGATGTGCAGAGTTGGAGGCTCAGAACCCCCATTTACTGTCATCTAACTTCTATTTCCTAATCTGAGAAAATGAGCGACAACAGAATTGCCCCCATCTGCTTACAAGCTTTTAATGGTGTTCAGGGCCAGCCCATGGTGTGAAGGCAGCTGGATCCCGCATGGCTGATGACATGTTTTGAGTCCTGGATCTGGCGGCTTGAGAAACATGTGCATGTGCATGTGTGCCCAAAATCCTGAAAGGAGGGAGAAATGGAGGAGATTGCAGGGTGACCATGCCCCACAGGGTGTGTTTTCTATCATGCATGCTCATGCATGTGCCCTCTGACAAAATTAAAAAAAAAAAAAAATAGGTACTTAGACGTGTGGCACAGTAAGCCCTCACATGGCCGCTCTCCTCTTGGGGTTGCAGGGGGTTGGCTGCAGTCTCCCCCAGGTTCCAGACCGTTCCTGGAGCAGGCCAGAGGGGTCTGGATGCCAGCCACTCACTGCACATCTGAGTCCCAGGCCAAGTCTGCCCTGAGCTTGAGCAGGACATAGGCATCTCCATCCTCCTGGGACCTGATCAGGAACAATCCAGTCTTTCTCCCTAGAAGGGGAAGTCCTGCCATCCCCCAAGGCCCCCTTGCAAATGCCTCCAGGCTCAAGGTGGACATTAAGTGGCCTCACCAGAAATGCAGAGCTGGAGACCAGTAGATGGCATAATGGTTATGTCGCTGGATGCTCACAGAGCCAACCATGGTTCGGGTCCTGAACTCTGCAACTTAAAACTCACGTTGGACACATGTGCATATGTGCCCAAGATCCCGAGGGGAGGATGGAGGAGAAGGGATTGCCTATGGCCATCCCCCCTGGGGAATGATGTCTCAAGTTTGTCTCTGTCTCCAGTGAGCTCATGTACCCTATAGCAAAAATCTCTTAAAAAAAAATGCTGAGCTGCCTTTGGGGCCCTGCTGGCCGGACACGCACTGCAGGCAGCTCTGTGCTCACACTGAGACCTGGAGTCACCGCAAGAAAGAGCTGGAGCATTTCTGGGCTAGGGGAGGGGAGAAGGTGGGGAGCACTGCAGAGGCAGGCAGGGGCCCGCCAGGAGCCAAGGAGCATTTACGAAGGCCTCAGGCTGCAAGGAGGAGGAGGGTGGCAGAGGACCAGCGCAGACCTGGGGCACTGGGTTTGGAACCACTGCCTACGCTTGCTTGCGGTGGGGACAAAGGGGCAGAGATGTGGGTGGGTCGTAAACTAATCTAGAAGCTGAGCGGAGTGAACTTCCACCTCCCCCACCAACCTGGCCGCCAGCCAGTAGGGAGGCTGGGCATGCTCACCAGGGCTGAGTGTGGGCGGGGTCAGGGCTGCCTGTGTGGCAACCCCGCCCGCACTCAGAGCCTAGGTGACCCGCTGGAACTCACAGCCAGCCTCAGGCGTGTCCACTATGTGGCACCGTGGTCCTCACAGACTGCCCTGCATGGACAATGAGTAGCCTCACAGACAAGGGCAGAGAAGCAGAAAGGTGGTGACAACTGGGGCCGGGCTTGACAAATCACTGGCCCATTCCTCACCATGTGGGACGGTTTCTGCCCCTGGCAGCAAGTCCCACGTGCATGTGCACGTGCACACACACACACACACACAATCCATTCCTGACATCCCCGTGCACCCTGCTGCTCGAGCAGGTCCTGGGGTCTTCCATGTCCCTGTGTAGGTGACGAATGGCGGTGAGAGCTCAGCTCCCAATAAAGCCCCTCACTCCTGACAATGGGACTGCCTCCTTTTGGGTGTCAAAGGGGATCCTGGTTTCAGGTCGCGCTTGGGCAATCAGAGCAAACGCAGTTTTGGCTGAGGACGCAAGAGCCGTCTTTGCCTTGCTGATTTTTATTTCCCGTGTTTTCACAGATTCTCTGGGCAGGGGTCTTAGGTATGGGACTCAGGTCAGGGGGTCCAAGGAACTCCTGGCTCAAGCCCTGGGAACAGAGAGCACAGCAGAGAACTGGCCTCAAAGGATTATGGGAGGACCACAGAGAACACTCAGGATGGTGCATAAATGTGGCCCAGGCCAACAATAGGGGTGACAGTGGAGGACACAGTGGCCCCATGGTATAGCCCTACAACTCCTTCCCCCTGTGTCACCCAGCAAACATCCCTGAGAGCTGCCTCCCCATTGCTCAGGTTGGGCCATGCCCTGACCCCTGACCCTCCGCGTGACGTTCATCACACTGTTGTCACATTCGTCTCCCCTGGGAGGCGGCAACACCTCCCATCACCCACGTAGCCTCCAGTGGCAAGGCATGACCTGGGAGTCGTGACCCGGAAGGTTCTAGCGGGCACTCGGTATCACGTCCTGAACTGACCTCAGGGATACACCATCTCACCCCTCTGCTCCTAAGCGCTGCTCCTAAGCCTACCATGGCCTGCAGCTCTCCAGTTCCCGGGGCGGCCCAAGTCCCGGTTGGGAAGCGTGGCCCGGGGGCAGCTTTCACGCGCTGGCCCTGCTGGGGCTGCCGGGCTCTTGGCCGGGCTGCTCGGCTGCCGCAGGCAGCCCTCCCCGGGGCTGTAATGAGGGAGGGTAATAAAATGACTACGATTGCGATCCAGAGTCTGATCCTGGCGGTCGGACCAGGTCGCGAGAGACGGCTGTGCTCGCCAGGGCTGGAAAGGGTCGCCTCTGGTGAGAGCGAAGGCTACAGCCTAAGACCGCCAGGGCCTCCATCGCACCCGGCCATGGAGACCCGGAGGGCGCAGGAGGCTTCAGAAGGCTTTCCGAGGCCGGCTTCTGAAGGATGAAGCGGATTTTCCCGACCCGGTGACCGGCGATCCAACCGGGAGGCGGCCACCCAGCAAGGACTGCACTCCGCGAGGGCGGAGGCGGCGAAGCTCGCTCCCGGAAGTCGGCCTGGCGCGCGCCGATGGCGTCACGAGGACGCGCCGGGCCGCCCGGGGCCGCGCACGCGCTCTGAGGGAAACCCGGCGCAGGAGCCGCAACTCCGGTCTGTTCTGTCCCGGGCTCCCGAGGCCTCCGCCTTCTCGCTGAAGCTGGGCGACTTGGAGGTTTCTCGTGGCCACCGCCACCAGCCCCTGGTCCTCGGAGTTACCGTGA